ATTATTATTATTATTATTATTATTATTATTATTATTATTATTATTATTATTATTATTGTTTGTGTTCGTCAAATTCGGTATATGGGCGTACCCTTTTAAGGTAAGCACGTGAGCAAGGCGTCCAATGAAATCGCGATAAGTAAATTTAATGAGCCAATCGTGACACAGCTCTTAGTGGCGTTTCCTGGTTTGTTTTGTTTTGGTGATTATGGCTGCAGAAGGAGATTTTCTGGCGAGATACCGAGCTGTGTCAAATAAACTAAAAAAGTTAGTAAGAGTTTATGTTACATTATTTCATATTAAGCGAAGAGTGAACAAATTTAGTTAGGATAAGGTTATTTATCTCGCGTGCGTACTGTACTGCCTAAGCTAAAGCTAGCAGCCAAAGCTAGCGGTCACTGTTTTGCATCGCGAAATGTTGTGTTTCATTCATGTGTCTGCGCGTATTTGCACTATTTAATAGGTATATCGTTTAGACAGTTGTTAATGTTTGTCGGTGTTAAATAAATAGCCTGCACCACGATGCTTTTACTAACGTTAGCTGTCAGCTAGCAGCAATATCAGCACACAAACCTAAATCTCACGTTTAGCACTAACTACATCACTCAAAATTAACTCGCAACCTAATGATGTTGACAGAGGCTCAGGGTCGCATTGTTTCTGCATCCTATTAGGCGTGGCATGGACCTATCAAAGTATTTGAGTCCTGCTCCTAAAGCTGAACCCTGATGTGTCCAGAGCTTGACACAATCTTTTTTTTCTCTCTCTCTGTCTATTCCAGACGGTTTCTTCGGAAGCCAAATGTAGCCGAGGCAAGTGAGCAGTTTGGTGAGTATGCCGGTGATCACAGATAAATGTTCAGGATTTATTGACCTTTAATAAATGTACTGGTGAGAAGAACATCCCTAAAAGTCAAGTCAAAATTCAGTTTGAGGGAAGTCACAATCTGACAATAAGTATCTGATCATAGACAGTACTAATCAAGACAACTGCCATACCAGCTATAATAATATCACCTGTCTTGATCTGGAAATTAAAGGCACCTGACACAGTGTTTTTCTTTCATGTTGTGCAATAAAAGATGTTCTAACAATCACATGTACCAATACAGAGTTAAACAAAGCAGGACTGATTAATTAATCATGATTTTAGCAAATACAAATACAGTCATGTATGAAATGGCCACATACATACCGTATGTCCATTTCTCTTATTTCCTCTCCTCCCACTTCTCTCCCACCTGACTGTCAGTCACATGAGTGACAAGAGGCGTTAAATGTTTCATTTCTTGCCTAAAGAGAACCTGAGCAGAAGTGGTAGTTGCAACATGGAAAATGAAAGCTAGTGCGAAAAATCTCTGTGGTGACAAGAGGCAATAAAACTTTATTTTTGCAAATAAATAAGTTAAAGATTGATGGTCATTATTTGTGAGCAGTGTTGGCAACATTGCAGCTATCAGCTCAGTGAGGTAGCACCTTTTTATAGAGCACCATCCGAAGCCTAAAAATGTGCATTGCACTGATTTTGAGTTAGGCTCATATTGTTCTTGAGTAACATTATGAATAGAGGTCATTGTTCACTACTCCCAACACTGCAGTTATAAGGAAACGTGTCTGCATCTGTGCAAAATAACACAAGTATCGGACTAAGACTTGGTATCATCTTATCCGTATTTTTAAATGAGTCAAGATGGCTGAATTTTGATTGGAATAGCCATATTTATTTTCAGAGCACATTAGGGCTGTGTATTGGCAAGAATTTGGCGATACGATACATATCATGACAAAGGGGTTACGATACGATATATCCCGATATATTGCGATATTATAAGCAAGGCGATATATTGCGATTTTTTTGTCCAAAAATTCTATTAAATAAAAACCTCTTGCAGTAGAAAAAAATGAAGAACCAAAATTCATTGTCTCAGAAAATTCTAATATTACAGAGACATACTTTTGATACATTTAGCTGTGCTCTGCTTTGTATGCATTTTATTTTATTTGTTTCGTATTTCTTATTTCATCCATGTTTTCAATTATTAGACTAAATTTTCCAATAAATAGTTTGAAAATATATTTTTTGCAGCTTTTAGTTTTTAATATTAATTTACAATATGGTCACCCAACACTTAACAATAGCCTAAGAGGTAGAGTAGCCAAATGGCTGGCTCACTGCTGCCAACTAGTGGTCAGAGGCTGAACTACAACATATAAATGAACGGCTGGCAGGAAAGTTGACATTTTAAACCTTAATAAAAAATCGATACAGGGCTTTAGAATATCGATACAGTATCGGGAAATGAAATATCGCGATATTTCAGTGTATTGATATTTTCTTAAACCCCTAGAGCACATTTACATCTTTAAATTGTGATGAACTTCTACATAATACACAAATCTTTTGTCTTAGCAGAAAATTATTTATTATCTTATTTGATTTTACGTACTTCTTAAATATTAATGGACAAAGTTTTGTAAGCTTACACACGTTTAGCCCTGTTTTTTTTAAATCTGTTCTTTTAATCGACAGGTTACAAATCACAATAAAAACATGAGTGAACAAAGCTTTTTTTATTTTTTGGCTACATCTAACTTCAGTACTTGTTATCGAGATGTTTTCCCAGTAAAAAGTAAATGATTCGCAATAAGCATGAATCACGACAGAGCCAGGCGATTATTTCTCTACAGCCAGTGATTAAATCAGTGGGTAAATGTTAGTAAAATGCAAACAATTTAACAAGAGAGAGGAGATATTTTTATTTTTATTCAGACACGGTGCCTCCTGCCTTCCCTCCTGGGTATAGAAAGCTCTTCATCAGGAGGCTGAAACGGCTCCAGTGGAGCAGCCGCCTTAAAGTGTGCACACGGACTGACAGGAAATGGAAACTAACATGGAAGAAGCAGCATTTTCTCACGGTTGTCAAACACTCTGCGTTCTGTCAGAATACTGTGGGGCTGTGTACAAACTCAAGGAGAGACCAATTTTCTCCTTGACTACATTCATCTTTTAATTACAGCAACAGAGAAAACTCAAGATGGCACAAATCAAGCCATAAGTGACAGCTGGAACAGCTGAAAAGCTTTCACTTTTGTGTGACAGTTTCGACCATACGGTAATCAGGAGGTGTTACCTGAAGGACAAACACGATTTAAGTCACTCATTGTGCAGGAGATTTTTCAGACAATCAGGTCATCAGAGTTATCCAAAGTAAAGTGTCTGAGACTGATTTTTTTTTTTTTGTCTGGAGGAATTGGATGGAAATCAGGGTTCCCGCAGATCTTTAAAAAGTCTTAAAAGGCCTTGAATGCATCAATCCAAAAATAAGACCTTAATTAGCCTTAAAAGGTCTTAAATCAATCTTCAGAAGTCTTAAAAATGTTAACACATTGTAAGTACACTGACTGTAATTCATCTCAAATATTAAAATAATTGGTAACGTGTTTATTTTTGAAATATCCCCATTCAGATGTTTCCTTTAGACATCACTTCCTGTTATTTCACCTGCAAATATCTCAACAACTGTCCATCTGAGCAATGGGAAATTGGTTTTCTAATGTTAATAACGTTGTCCTTCCAAAAATGTATTCATATTTCTTACAAAAGTTTGATGTCACAGGCACTTTAAGTTTTTATCTCCAGCAACCTAGGGTTGAGAACCCACTCTGGGTCATAAAACTCCAATTTTTAGGTCGTTAGAGAAGTTCCAGGAATTAAATTCAGTTTAAAACTGACTGCTAGGAATGTTTAAAGCTAAATTTGACAAAATAGCAGTTAGATATGGATAAAAACCATTGGTATATTAGCAATATTTGAATAATTCAACCAAAAATTCTGTGATTTGTGAGTTTCTGCCACAGTTTAATTTTTTTTTTTTTTTGTCACTTATGTTTATCAAGAAATTGGTCTTAAATTTAACTTTCCTTAAACTGTAGGAACCCTGCATTAGCCTTTTGCTACTTGTCCAGATACATCTCAGTAATCCAGGTAAAAAATCAAAAAGAAAAAAAATAGTATAGGTCTTCTGGAC